CCTCTGGACTCCCACTGGGTTGTCTAGGCTACTGAATTGTATAGCGCCTGAGTTCCTTAGCTCTCCCCTATTGTTATGTAAATCCAGAGTGGTGCCTGCTCTTTGTCTCTTGCTCACCTTTGCAAGGTTGGCGGAGAGAGAAACTAGAGAAAAACTCATCTGTACCAGAACCCCCCCCACACCTTTCTTCCTTCTCTCCTGTAGTCAGTCTGGTGAACTTTCCTGCTCCCCTCTAGATTCTGACTGCTGTTTCCCCACCAATGTCTCTGGTTACTGAGCTCACCTCCCCTTCCAGCACCGATGTGTGGACTCGGAGCCCTGGGCGTCCCTGCTCTCCCTGCTGGTGTCTGTGTGACATCCACTCCCCTTCCTGCACTGGCGCGCAGACCATGCAGCTCCCGCAGCTCGGCTTCCGCGCGGTGGGCGACCTTGTTCTCCCAGTAGGTCCTCCGAGTCACAGCCACTAGATCCGGAAGAGTTTCCTCTGCAGTTTTTTCCTGATCCTTTTTCTGAGGCTACCATAACTCCACTTTTATTAAACTAAATTTTCCCGGACTATCAGTGCACGCCCACACTATTCAGCCATCTTGGCTCCCATGTTCAGTAAAATTTAAACACCTAGGAATAATTGTGTGTTAATTACAGAGTTCAACTAATGGTATTAAGTAGAACAAAAAAAAATTTTGCTTCCTTTGCTATGCAGAAGCTTCTTTGTTTGATGTAACCTCATTTGCCTATTTTTTATTTTATTACCTGTGCATCTGGGGTTTTATTTAAGAAGTTTTTTGCCTAGGCCAATGACTTGCGGTGTTTCCCCTGTGCTTTCCACTAGTAATTGATGGTTGCAAGTCTCAGGTTTAGATCTTTGATCCATTGTGAGCTGATATTTGTGTGGTGTGTAAAATAGGGGTCTTGTTTCAAACTTCTGCATGTGGCAATCCAATTGTCCAACATGATTTGTTGACGACACTATCCTTTCTTCAGGTAGTGATCATTGGCTTGTTTGTCAGATTCAGGGGTTGTAGATTTGTGAATTAATTTCTGGGATTTTAATTCTGTTTCATTGATTCACATGTCTATCTTTGTGCCAGTACCAGACTGCTTTGGTTATAAAAGCCCTGTAGAATGACTTGAGATATGGTATTTTGTTATGTCTGGCTTTGTTTTTTTTTTTCTTTTGTTCAGGATTGCATTGACTATTAGGGGTCTTTTTTTTTTTTTTTTAGAATTGCTTTTTCTAGGCCTGAGAAAAGTGTTCTTGATATTTTGTTTGAGACTGCATTGAATCTGTAAATAGCTTTAGAAAGTATGGACATTTTAATGATACTATATCTTCCAATCCATGAACATGGAAGATTTTTACTTTTTTGTTTCTTCTTTTTTTCTTTCCTCATTTTTTTTTAGTTTTTTTTTTTTTTACCTCATTGATTAAATTTATCCCAAGGTATTTCATTTTTTCTTGTAGCTATTGTGAATGGGACTGGTATTACAACACACAGGGAGCTCTGAGTTTCTGCACTCTGACCACATGGGTGCTCGTGAGCCTAACAAACTCTGTGACCTGTGCTGAGAACTCTCACAGTCACAGGGTGAGGGGAACTGCTCTCTGCCCTTCAAACTGTCCTGTCCCCTATGTGAGCTGGTTGTCATTCCTTGAGCCAGGACAGAGATAGGCTGATCCTAGCTTCCTGATAATGCATACCCTGAGAGGCAGCTGTGATGACTCAAGTAGTTGGGTTCTAACTCCTCATGTGGAAGGCCCTCCTTAAGTTTCAGCTTTGGCATGGTTCAGTCTTGTTTCAGGTGTGTGAATTTGGGGTACGAGGCAAATGAAAATAGCTGTTTGTCTCTACTCTTTTCAAATAATAGACTAAAATAAATAAATTTAAAAGCTCTCTGTTGCATAGCTATGTTATTGATGTTACTCCGTGAATCTTAGAAGAAATAGCTTCCTTCATAGTCAGTCTCCAGTAAAATACTTTTACGAGGTGTTTTATCTCATGAGGTTGATTTTCAAATTATAGCTGCACGTAAGCAAGTCTGATTGCTGACCCCTCTGCCATATGCTTTTATGTTAGCTACTGAGGACTGGGGAGGCACAATATTGATCAAATATAGAGACTCTTTACATTTTTAAATATGTTTTAAATATTTGTGAAAAATGTAGAATGCTAAACTGGTAGTTACTTATCAACAAATACTATTATGACTATTTTTATTGCTGTCATTCTGATAGGTTTATGCAACTCATTGTGGTTTAATTTTTATTTCTCTAATGGATCATGCTTTTTAACAACTTGTAATACATTTTATATCATTTTCATTAAAATTTCTGTTCAGTTAATTTGATATTTTTACTTGACCTCTTTCTTTAGTGGTCAATTTGATAGTTATTTATCAATTTTAAATGTAAGTCCTTTATCAAATGTGATTTGTAAATGTTTTTCTCCTTTTCTGCAGTTTCTTATTTTTCAACCTTGTCATAAAATCTTGTACAAATGTTTTTAATTTTGAGAGAATCAATTTATCTTTTTTTTTCTCTTTTTATGAATAATATTTTGTGGCAAGTCCAAAAATCTCTTCATTGAGCCTCAATTCTCAAATGATTTGTCCTTGCATTTTCTTGCTAAAAATATATATTTTATATTTATTTTTAAATGGATTTATTTATTTATTTGAAAGATAGAGTGACAGAGAGGGAGAGGGGTATTTCATCCATGGGTTTACTTGCTAAACAGCCACAACAGCTGGGGCTGGCACAGGTAGAAGCCAGGAACTAAGAACAACATACATTGCACAGACTCTAGTACTTAAGTCGCCATCTGCTTTTTCTTGGGTGCATTAGCAGGGAGCCGGATTATAAGTGGAGCAACCAAGATTAGTACTGACGCTCCAATAGAGGGTGAGGACATAACAAGTGGCAATTTAACCTGCTAAGTCATAATGCCCATCCCCAAATTATATATTGTAATGTTTTCATTGAATGCTATGATAAATTTCAAGTTAATTTTTGTAGATGGAGTAAGGTAAATGTTGGGGTTCATGTATGTACTTCCACAGGGCCTGGAAGCCTGGGTATAGTCTTAGTAATGGGTGCTATAACAAAATATTGTGGAATGACTGGTATAAGCATCAGGAACTTGTCTCTAAGGTTTCTGCTTTGCAGACAGCTACCTTCTCTCTGTATGGGGAGAGAAGGTGGGGGTGGGGAGAAAGTGCTCAGGTGGCTCATTTTGTAAGGCCATTGATCTCAGCATGAGGGTTCCACCTTCATGACATCATCTAAACATAATTAACTCCAAAATGTCCCGCATCCTCACACAATCAAATGGGGCTAAAGTCTCAATATATGAATTATGAGAGAGCACAGTCCAAAACATAGATTATTCCAGAATAGGAAAGCATGTTTACTTAAAAATTACACAAATGTATATCATAGTTTTATTTTAATATCTCCAAACTGAAAGCTAATCAAATAGCCTTCAATGGATACATGCTTAAGTAACTAGTTTATCCATATCTAGGAACACTACAGTGCAGCAGGGCAATAGGAAGGAGCAGGCTAGCAACACATGCTATGTCCTGATGAATCTCGAAGGCATGCTCAGTGAAAGAGTCAACCTTAAAATGTTGCCTACAGTGTGATCCCATTTATATAACACTCATGAACTGACAAAATCACAGAGAAATAAAACAACAACAACAAAGTATACCAAAGCAAACAAGGAGTTCAATCTTTGAAAAGCTAAATACATTTGTAAAACTGTGTCAAGACTAATCAGGAAGAAAGAGTATATCTTTGTGAGGAATAGTGGAAATATCGCTGTATATACCATAGATGTTAAAAATATTATAAGGAAACACAATAAGCAGTTTGATGCTACAAATCAGTGGAAATGAGTGCTTAGAGAAACTCAGTTTGACCAAAATGTTTCAGTAAGCTATTTTTTTAAAAAATGAATAAGCTTAAATCCATGACATAATTGAATTTCTAATTAAAAATTCTTTCACCAATAAACTTCCTGTTCAATTGGCTTCATTGATAAATTTGATCACCTAATAAAAAATAAAATAACTCTTGCATAAATAACTTTTCTTTTTTTGACAGGCAGAGTGGACAATGAGAGCGAGAGAGACAGAGAGAAAGGTCTTCCTTTTCTGTCGGTTCACCCCCCAATGGCTGCTGCGGCTGGCGCACCGCGCTGATCCAAAGCCAGGAGCAAGGTGCTTCTCCTGGTCTCCCATGGGGTGCAGGGCCCAAGCACTTGGGACATCCTCCACTGCACTCCCAGGCCACAGCAGAGAGCTGGACAAGAAGAGGAGCAACCGGGACAGAATCTGGCGCCCCAACTAGGACTAGAACCCGGGGTGCCAGCGCCGCAGGTGGAGGATTAGCCTAGTGAGCCGTGGCACCGGCCGCATAAATAACTCTTGACCTATTTTTCAACTTACTCTACGAGGCCAGAATAGCTAACAGCAAAGCACATTATAAGAATTAATATTAGAGGGGGCCGGCGCTGTGGCTCACTTGGTTAATCCTCTGTGGCGCCAGCATCCCATATGGGCACCAGTTCTAGTCCCGGCTGCTCCTCTTCCAGTCCAGTTCTCTGCTGTGGCCCAGGAAGGCAGTGGAGGATGGCCCAAGTGCTTGGGCACCTGCACCTGTGTGGGAGACCAGGAAGAAGCACCTGGCTCCTGACTTCGGATCAGCGTAGCTCCAGCCATAGAGGCCATTAGGGGAGTGAACCAATGGAAGGAAGACCTTTTTCTCTGTCTCTCTCTCTCACTAACTCTATTTGTAAAATAAATTTTAAAAATTTGTAAAAAAATAAAAAAAATATTTTAAAAAAAGCATTAATATTAGAGGTTCATCTTTCAGGGCATGATTCCAGCTTTAGCCATACTAGCAACTAAATTTATAAATATTAAAAAAGACATTTATGTTAAAATGGAATTTTAGTTTTTGTTGTTTTACACTAATATGTGGATTAATCTTACAGATGCATCATAAGAAATAGAAGCCAGAGAAATGGAACAATGCCTACTGTGTGATTCTAGTTACATAAAATGGGAAAGGAATTACATGCAGGGAAAGTCAACCTTTGATTTTTAATGTTAGAATTGTGATCATCTCTGAAGAAACAGAGGAGAATCTTTGGCAAGAACCATAAAGGGGTTTCTATAAATATGGTAAATCTGAATTATTAACCAAGACACTTTCATGTGAATATGAACAATGCTATGCTAAATTATACTTCAATTTAAATCTTTTACAATTACAGAAATAGAAGCACCAGGCATCAAGAAAACTTGGCAAGTGCTTACTTCTAGTAGCAAGTAAAAATATGACTCAAGGATCATATGATTTTGCTATAGAGGGAATTATACTCGACAACTTCCTTTGGAGGAAAAAGTGAGTTTGACCATAGGATTAAGAGCTGAAATTCAACAAAGTGAGCTTTATATGTTATTCTAGTATCCTCAAAGACATATTCCTTGTGGAACACTAGCACTAAAATCAGAAATCCTGTTTCCACATAAAGCAATGTGAAAAAAAAATAAAAGTTAAGAAATTATCCTTAAAAATCTTTTCTTTAAGGAAAGAGGAGAAAGAAAATCAGCAAAGAAAGTAGTTTTTAACGTAAAATAAAAATCATAGCATCATATTTTATTACTCTTTTTATTCTAGGTTGTTAACTTACTAACGCACCTGGAATTAAGGGTTTCTCAGTGGAATATGGGATATATACAAATGAAGGATAACTAAATGCACAAGATTTACCTATACTTGCCCAGAGACTGGTCTGCCATTTAGAACCTGTATTACAGAGCAAGTAAATACACAGTTTTGTGATTCTAGAAAACTTCTTAGGAGACAGAGGCAAGATTTGAGAGGAGTACCATTGAATATATGAAAAGAAGTAGAACATTATATATGATGACATTGTGTCAAATTTTATTTGAAGGACCGTAAATGTTACAATTGTACTGGTGCGAACATAGTGCTCATTGAGAGTAGTGGAAAATTAAATTTGCAAAGGATTGTAGAAAAGATATGCTGGAGTATACTATTTTTAACAGTTCTCTGTTTTGCTGGTGTTATTTATAGCTTTAGGCAAAGTGTCACTCATTAAGTAGCATAATGGAACTATCTTTGCAGAAGATATCATTTTTAATAGAAAATAGAAATATTAACTCTTGTTATCACCTTTCTTCCCTCTATGAAGCCAGATATTATACCTTTTCTCACTAGATTCTCAGAGATCTTATCTATCTTCAGGTACAGTAGAGGAAAATGGTTGGGAGAAAATAAGAGAAAATAACCTTTCTGTATATGTTTCATGCTTCCAAGACTAAAATCTCCTTTCTGTAGAAAGTCTGCTTTCATGGGGGGATTATAGCAAACCTTTCATCTTCTGGGCTCCGTGGCCTCCATCCTCTGCCTTCAGAGTCTTCATTTTATTGACATCAGTTGTGTTTGGTCACTGATTATATTTGTCGAAATCTCCACCAAGACTCGGTAGTTTTTTCAAGTGATTTTCATTTTATTCTCAACTATCCCCACCTATAATTAAAAAAAAATCATTTATCAAGATTATTTTTAAACTCAGTCTCCTTTTTCTATTATCTCTGGACCTCCAGCTGAATGATCACAATATGAAAAGGCCTTCATGCTTGTCTTCACATCTCCTCTCAACTTCTTATCCTTAAACACTGTCCCCTCCCCTTGCATGAATAAGATTGATACTTGTCTAAACTCAGTGCAACAGATGCATCCTAGAAAGCTGCCTAAGTTTACATGTTTTGTTTGTGTATTCTATTTGCTATGTTGAAAGAGAGGGAAAATGGAAACACACTCTTTTTGCTAAGATCCACAATTGACATTTTATTTCCAAAAAAGCAGGGATCTATTTAATAATAGCTGCTTGATAAAATGACTCTAGAAGCATTTTGTTTGCTATCACTGTAAATCTTATCTGACGTTCTAACACACTTCTCTCAATTCTAATTCTGAAATTAAGCACCATCACAGGGGTAGGCAAGAGCAAGTGCCTTACAAAAGGCAGCAAAAAGGGAGCCAAAAGAAAGTGGTGGACCCAGTTCCTAAGAAAGATTGCCATGATGTGAAAGCACCTGCTGAGTTCAACATAAGAAATATTGGGGAAACACTAGTCACAAGGACAAAAGGAACCACAATTGCATCTGATGGTCTTAAGAGTCATGTTTTTAAAATGACTCTTGCTGACTTGTAGAACAATGAAGTTGTGTTTAGAAAATTCAGATTACTGAGGATGTTCAGGGCAAAAACTATCTAACTTCCACGGCACGGATCTTACCTGTGACAAAATGTGTTCCATGTGAAAAATTTGGCAGACCGTGATTGAGGCTCATGTTGATGTGAAGATTACCGAAGGCTATTTGCTTCATCTGTTCTGTGTTTGTTTTCCCCAAAAATACAACAGTCAGATACAGAAGACATCCCACGCTTAGCACCAACAGGTCCACCAAATTGGGAAGATGATGGAAATCATGACCAGGAAGATGCAAACAAATGACTTGCAAGAAGTAGTCAATAAATTGATACCAGATAGCATTGGAAAAGATATAGAGAAGGCTTGCCAATCTATCCCCCCACCCCCATGTCTTTGTTAGAAAAGTAAAGATGCTGAAGAAGCCCAGGTTTGAATTGGGAAAACTCACGGAGCTTCATGGAGAAGGTAATGGTTCTGGAAAAGCCACTGGAGCTGAGACAGGTGCTAAAGTTGAAGGAGCTGATGGATATGGACCACCAGTCCAATAATCCATTTGAAGTTTAGACTTCAGTAGTAACAAATAAAAAGTCTTATTTGTGAAAAAGAAAACAAATTTAATAGTTTAAACTATAAACCTCTTCATAAGCATGTCGAAGTGATCAGATTGCAATAACCTCCCTTTCCACAAATAAGCAAAGACATGAATGCAGACATTATTTTTGAAAAAAAAAATTTATTTATTTGAAAGGCAGAGTTACAGAAAGGAATAGAGAAAGAGATGGAGAGAAAGAGAGAGAAAGATTACTTACATCTGCTGGTTCACTCCCTAAATAGCCGCAACAGCTAGCAGGGCCAATCCTAAGCCAGGAGCCAGAAGCTTCTTCCAGATGTCCCACATGGGTACAGCAGCCCAAGCACTTGAGCCATCTTGCACTGTTTTCCCAGGCCATTAGCAGGGATCTGGATTGGAAATGGAGTAGCTGAGACTTGAACCAGTGCCCATATGGGATGCTGGCAATGTAGGTAGAGGCTTAACCTACTATACCACAACACTGGCTGGAAACAGTTTTAAAAGTGAAATGACATTTAGTAAATTCACATTAATGCTCATAAAAAGCAGAAAGAAACCAATAATGAGGCCAAAAAAAAACTTATAAGGCCTGCTGTATAACAGGCTAATATGAGTACTTGCTTTTCCTTTCTTTCATCCACTAAGTTTTCAATGTACATAAAGGGAGAAAAGCTCACATAATTTGGGTGGATCTTGATCCTTAGAGACAAATGTTCAGATTTAGCATTGTCATTGTCTAGTTTTCCAACCTTCATTTAGTTAGCCAATATTTTTCAGCTTCATTTACTTCATTTGAAAAATGGTATTAATGATTGGCATTATCTCATGCCATAATTATAAAAATTAAATTAAATTTTGCATGAAAGATATGTTGGAATCTCTAATTCCTAGAATTTTGATTTGCTGTTATTACTCTATTGATATCACTGTCTCCATAGTCACCAACAACATTCCATAATAAAGCCAGTGGATGTTCTTTCAGTTCACAATTTTCTGGGCCTGCTGATTATTCCATGCAACAATCATTGTAATCTCTTCTTGCTTGCACCTCTGTGTATTCCTTTTTATTCTTTCTCTCCTCAGCCTCTCTTAATTAAAACCGTAATTATTAGTTGGGTATTCAGTGTGAGCTGAACTTTCTGAGGAATCCACTGATACAGAACCTGGTCTCTATGAACCTAGTCTCTGTTCTCAAGAGGCTGCTTCTCCAGGGCCATATTTTGGAAAATAAGCAGAGTTGAGGATGCAAGGGGCTGGGTGAGGAGACACAAAGGATAGAGAAGGGAATGGATTCTTGAAATAGAGATATATGAGCTGAGATGAAAATATTAGTGATTGACTAGGGTAAGTAGGGTGGCAAAGAGTTTTCTTGGAATAAGAAGAATATGCAAAGCTTAGAGGAAAGAGTAAATATTGTGAATTTTAAAAAAAGGACTTGAATATCCAACAGAGTTAAATTTCTAAATATTATATTGATAATTAAAAGAGGATGCAAAAAATAGAGTTGTGGCACAGCAGGTTAAGCTGCTGCCTACAATGCTGGCATCCTGTCTAAGTGCCAGTTCGAGTCCCAGCTACTCCACTTTCTATCCAGCTCCCTGCTAATCTGTCTGGGAAAGCAGAATATGGTCCAAGTATTTGGGCCCCTGTCATCCACTTGGGAGACAGGATGCAGTTCCAGGCTTCTGGTTTCAGTCTGGCCCAGCCACAACCATTGTGGCCGTTTGGGGAGTGAACCAGCAGCTAGAAGATCTCTCTCTCTCTCTCTCTCTCTCTCTCTCTCCCTCCCTCTTTCTGTAACTATGTCTTTCAAATAGATTTGTTAAAAGAAAATGAAGATGTAGCTGGCAAAGATGAAGAATAGGATATAGGTGCCACATCTTTCAGAATTTTATTTCATAATTTTAAGACATTTAGATTTTGTACACATGATAATACAGAAAATTGGAGAGGTTTTGAGAACCATCACCGCCTTTGACTTGAATTACCACCATCAGATATCAACTCACTTCCTTACTTCCTGTTAGGCCAGAGTGATAAATTTAAAAATCTGAACTTGGGGGCAAGTTTTTTGCACAGTAGTTAAGAATCCAGGCAGCCTATGTAGAAGACCTGGTTGGGGTATCAGGTGTCTTTGGTGTTTCCCAGTCATGGCTATTGTGGATGTTTATGGAGTAAACCAGTGGATTGCAAGATCATGTATTCATTATCTTTCTCTCTGTGTGCCTTTAATACATAAAATAAATACATAAACTCAAAATATAAGAAGAGAAACAAAAATCCAAGCCTTCATGTTACTCTGCTCTTTGAGAGTCCCCAGGAGCTCATCAGGGACTAGAGCCTCTGTGTACTTCCCTAGGAGAACATCACATGGCAATTCCCTTGTCAAATGAGTTTCCCACATGAGGTGTGGAACCCTCGCAGGGCTTGATCTAATCAGTGTATCATGAATATGCGGCTCAATGTTTGACATATAGCAGTTTCTCAAATCTACTAATGAATCTAGCTCTCAAGGATGATTGAAATTTGAATCTGAGGAATGCATTTAATATTGTTACGGTCTTTTTTAAGCCACAACTACACAATTAA